AAAAAAGGGGCCCCAGTGTGAAAAAGCTTGGAGGAACAGTGGTAGAAGGTCATCGTTCCCCCCATTTGTCTTTCCACTTCCCTTCAACCCATCCCTCCTCTTCCTCTCTGCCCCTTTTCACTTGAGCTGAATCAACATGAGGCCACTTATTGTGAATCAAAAAGAGAAGACCAGCATGGTTGGAAGATTATGAGGTAACATTTTCTCCTTCCCTTCAACATTCATTATTGTCATCCCTCTCCTTCACTGTTTCCTCTTTGGGCTTTGGCCCTCATATTTTTTTCCTCCGCCCCTTGTCTAATTAGAACACTGAGAAAAGGAATGAAGTAATAAATGAGAGTGGTCCTAAGACCTCATCCAGCTCTCAAATTATAGAAACATGATGTATGTGGTTCCGTGAGGAGGGCGGTATAACAGACAGTCAACACATGCAAAGGCCAATCAAGCATGACTATTCCTCCTTCAATTTGGTCATTACGTGATCGAACAAATGTTTGTGTTGGATTTAAGATCTTTTTTCCATTTTATAGTAGCTCAGTGCCAACTAGCACCTGTCACGGGTACTACTCTAACCCAGCCCCTTGTACATGAATATACAATAGCTTGGGTTGTGCATGCATTTACACCGTTTTACTACTACTAGGCAAGAACTAATAGTGCCTCAAAATTTTCAATTATTAATGAATTTTTGAAGAAGAGGAAGAATAGCTGCCAACTACACGACATTACAAAAGGTTAATTTACTTTTCCTCAAAATCTAGCAAGATTGTCTGGACAGCTATTGATGTGCCTAACTAATACCACTATTTTTTTTTTTTTTTTCTTTTGGGGGTCCGTGGAGAGGGAAGTTTTCCGGACAAAGGGCATGTGATCGAGACACTATCTTACGAGTTTTCCAAGGAGAAGACGTGTTCGTGTATATGTTGTTGGACTCGCTCAACTCCTATGCATACATTTGCATGCCCTCTGCCATGGGCTCTTCAATCAACTGCCTCGTCAACCCCTTTCAAAGCATAGAATTGAGCGTGGTTGTTTTTTATGCCTCTTTGTTTATTTTATTTTATTTTATTTTTTATAAACTGAGGAAATTTGGCGACGGAAATTAGGGTGGAGGAGTGAGTATCTTGTTGTGAATTTAAGATTTT